ATTTCTGTCACAATATCACAAAACAGTCGCCAAATATGAGTCTCATACCAATTCCGATGATATGTAATTTGTCAAGATTAGGGATATGTTAGGATGATACCTAATTTATGATGAATACTAAAATATGTGACAGGGAAAAAAAGACAGTTAAAAAAGAGTGCCATTCATGGTAACACATTATATGTGTGAAGTTTCCGGAGAAAGTGACCCAACAGTCCCTGGTGATCCGACAGGAAGTTTACTTTTGAGCAAAACATCTCGGAATTTCCTACTGACATAATAAAACTTTTGCATTTTAACATGTTAACTCAGATAAACATTTACACAACATGTTCACTGTGGTCAAGCATTTGTGTTTGTTAGCGATCCAAAGCACTTGTGATTCAAGCTTGAAAATATGATTTCACTTTGTAAATCATTTCCATCTGCTCAATTTGCCAGATATGTCCAGTATTTCCTGGACTTTCTTCTCTTATTGTTTTTGATGAAAGCTCGTAGCTCTGAGCTGATGTCCAATCCTCTGAACGTCACTGATACGGACAATGAAATTAAACAAAGTTTAACATCTAGCTTAAATATCCGTTCAATGGTCTTACTGAAAGTGACCCTTCAGTGCAATAAAAATGCCTTCATCTTTCAATCAAAATGCAATAACCCACTTTCCTTTTCCACTAACATGATGATGACGGTACAAGCAGGAGAAAATGTTGCCCAACGGAAAGCAAACACAGAAGCCCTACTTTTTAATACGTTCCTGGCTTCATTTCAATGCAATGCTGTGTGCATGAAAAACTTGCTCCATCTTTTAAATGACTCAATTCTAGTAAGTAACAGACGCTTTTCATGATCCAACCAATTCCCAGTGGATAATTAAGTCCGGACATGCATATTCTTCTTGATGAACATCCTTTTTAACTCATAAATAAATCAGACTACGGAAACAAAAAATGGTTTCAATTTGACTAAGTATCTTTCTAAGTGAACAATGATGGTAGCTCATGATGGCAAAAAAAAATTAATCTACCTCACTTAAACCAAACATTGTCCTATAATCAGGAAAAACCTGACACGATCACTGTTCAGAATAACACACTACTAACACATTTATAAAAAGATTTAAGTATATTAGAGCTGTCACAATGTACCTTGTGTCGTGTCGATTTAACGGTAAAATAACTGAAGTGGCGCATTCCCAGGACGAGAATCTACCGCAATATTAAAGTGTTTTATAAGTTTCCACATTCTATTTAAACAATTTAAAAATAATGATATAGCATAGTGATATTGTGAAATCACAAAGTCTGCAATTCAATTAAATAAATATATGCTCTGCGAGTTTAATATTTACATGCGTGCGGGTTACATGTTTCTCAGAGCGGCTCCGTTCACAGTAAATGCAGTCGTTTGGGTTTTAAATAATGTGCATTTGGGAACGCATATAAAGTCTGACGCGCATAGAGAAGTGTTGTGCTGTTATTTTCATGCGTGGAGCGTCTCAAACTCCATCTCTGTGCATGGAGTGAACTTGGTTTGCTTATTACATTTATCTGGGAACGCAACATACGCCATTTCATCAGATTTGTAACTTAACCCTCTGGGGTCTTTCATTTCAAAGTCACACTCAGGACCTTCGGGTCCTAATGAGCCGGAAGGGTGGGATTAATATTTATTTTTTAAAAATCATCTTTTTTCTTTTTTTTTACTTGTTTTTTATAATATTTTTTCTTTTTTTGGTGTTTTGAGATAATTTCAAAAATAAAAATGATTTATAATTAATATTAATGCAATAATTATGACCCATTTTTTCCCCATTGAATATAATCGAATTTTCTTTTTCTTTTCTTTTTTCTTCTTTTTTTTTTTAAAGCTGTATTTCATTTTAGAGTCAAGGCCTCATGAAAGCAATTTTTGAAATGAGATGGATGCCATCTGGTGGACAAACTGAGCATTTTAAAAATTCAAAACCCATATGTAATCTGAATTTATTAGTGTGTATGTGTATAAAAGTGTGTTTGTGTGTGTGTGTGTGTGTGTGTGTGTGTGTGTGTGTGTGTGTGTGTGTGTGTGTGTGGATGTGTCTGTTTTGCACTCTTGATGTTTTATAGATTCACCCCTTCAGTGTTGTGTGCTTTTTTTCTGGATCGTGGCTGATTTGTAGTTTGTACGCACAAAAAAACTCTGTATTTTCACATTTTTGCCAATTTCCCATTCATTTCCTATGGGGGTCCATTTGGACCCGAAGGTCCTGAGTGTGACTATTTTTTTTACAACCACTTAGACTATTCAAATCCTGTCCCCAATTTTTTTGGGTGTTCATATACCAAGTACCAACAAAGTCACCAAATTTCGGACCATTCCGATAAAGCTATGATTAAAAAAAAAAAAAAATGTATTTAAATGCTTCGGGTCCATTTGGGCCGAAGGACCCCAGAGGGTATAAACCGATGCCAAAACAGCAGAATACATCAATATGTTTCTAAATATGGGAATTGTTACTTTTTTGAGATTTTAAAATAAAAGTTTAAACCCTCACTGTAGCATTTCTACGGTAAGTTGTTCAATATTAAATATTATGTGGACATTTGAATTAAAATAAGGATTTGATCTGCTGTAATGTGTAACAACAACAACAATCACGTACATAAGTTCATTGTTTATATTATGTATATTATCTTATGTATTTTAGCAGTTGTTCAATAAAACCATATGGTTACTTATTTTTGGCGTCATTGTTGCTATAAATGTATTTTAAGTAATTTTAAAGGATACTTTTTACACGATTACTCGTCAAATTAATCAACAGATTACTTGATTACCAATATAATCGTTAGTGACAGCCCAAATTTTTATTTCAAATTTATGCTGTGTTCATCAAAGAATCCTAAAAAAATTATCAGGGTTTCAACACAAAAGTGAAGCAGCTCAACTGTTTTCAACATTGATAATAATCATAAAATGAAAAATCATCATATTAGACTGATTTCTTAAGGATCATGTGACACTAAAGACTGGAGTAATGATGCGAAAAATTCAGCTTTGATCACAGGAATAAATTACACTTACACACACACACACACACACACACACTCCCGATCTGATGAAGGACCTGCGCCTGCACACGACGACAACACAGTCCTGAAGTGTCCACTAGTGTCTCCCTGAAGGCCCTCTTCTCCTTCCCTTCACCTCTTTACAGATAAAACGTTGTCAAAATAGTTCCGGTTCAATAGTTCCGGTTAAATAATTCTGTATTATACATTTTTAAGGCCAGACAAGTAATTTGTTGAGGTCAATTTGTAAAGAAAGACTACACACCTGTCCTGCGCACATATACTGTATATCCAAATGCGGATACCTATAGACTAAACACGTAATATGCATGTGCACGCCGTCAGCGTTTTCCCAGATTTGCGTTTTTAAAGGTTGCGCAGAGATAATTAAATAAAAAAATAAAAAATAAAAAATAGGCTTGCTTGCATCTTAGAAGCTATTTCAAGGTTTGCAGGCCGTTGTTGTGCGGATGAGCGGACTGATCGCATTCAAGGTTTTCTGTTAGAACGGTGTCGTGTTCGCGGTCATTAATAGCTAATGATCTTTGCAACGGAAGTGAATCAATCAAAACTTAATTTATCTGGACAATAACTTAATTCTAGAGCTAATGTAAAGCCAAAACAATCTCTGTAACTTTAATTTCCTAGTATCACTGTAAAGCTGCTTTGAAACAGTCTGTATTGTTAAAAGCGCTATATAAATGAAGGTGACTAGACTTTACAATATATTCATATAGACAACCGTTATTTAAAATGGTAATAAAATGTCACTGTTTTTACTTTGTTTTTCATCTAATAAATGCAGCCTTGAAGAGACTTCTATTAAAAACAGTAAAAATCTTTTAATCAAACATTGGCTTATACTACAGTTTGAATGTTTATCATTGCATTATGTATAGTAGGAACTATAGTATGTACTGTAGTACTAGTATTCTGAACACAGCTAATTTTATTTAATTTAAAAGCACAGTTTTGCTCACCTGACATTGAACCACTATCAGAGACACATTAGTGTGATTTACATTAGTGAATGTGCGAAGGCTGCATATCCTCAACAGAGCAATAAACCACTAACATCGTACAGTAAGTGTTCAGTAAGAGCTAAATGACGCTCTCATTTGGGCCTATGAGACACTTTTGAGAAGTGATTTTAATCTTGAGGTTCATAAATAACAGCTCGGCCTCAATAATAGTTGTGTGGTGTACTCTTGCCTCCATTGTGTTTTTTAAATGGAAATGTCTTGGAGTCGATTCAAATAAACACTGAATCTTATTGGATTCAGACCTCCGCTCAAAACAAACACGGAAACTCTTCCCATCAGAGCTGAGCTTTCATTTTTGAAGACAATAAAGTTCGCAATGCTCTAGAAACCATTATGATTCTACTAAACCTTTTAAACATTTGTTGTATTTTGGATTGTTAATCACTGACACAGATTTAAAGAACTGATTCAAATGATCCGCTTTATTGTGCTCATCAGCAAGAAAATAAACTAGATATGTACATGGTCTGAATACAATTTGATGGTGTTTGTTTCGTAAAACTCAACGCAAAAGTGTAAAGGAAAAAAAAAGGCAAACAGCACAAAAACACCCCCATAATGATGTCATCAGCAGCTGGGATGTTGTTGGATTTGTAAACACACTTTCACAAGGTCAGGACCACATTTTTCTGATAAGGAGCATTAAATCTGACTAATAAACATTAAAGAAAGAGTTGAGGGGTCACAGACACCCCAGGACCCTTCTGACAGTCTTGACCAATCGAGGGAAATCCGCTTTATTTATTTAAATCCAGACGGCTGTTTCTGAGTAATCCAGTAAAAGAACAGAAGGAAAAAAGCAGGAGGGTGGAGAGCAGGTCTGACATCAGAGTAATGTGGAGCTCACACTCGTTTAAGAGTCAGGCCGTGCCGAGCGTTCGACAGAGACACAGCACACCCGCAGCAGAACACACACATCTGGATCTGCTTTCTGGAGGAGCTGAGGTACGTACTGCACTGATTCAATTACAAGACCACAAACAACATGTCATTTTCAACTGAATGTGCGCTGTGCATTAGACGTGGTGTGTCCATTGCACTGTATCTCTTAAATTCCATTGATTTAGAGCAGTTTTGAAAGGAATTAATAAAGCATGTTCGCACAAAGGATTTTCCAGGAACAACATGTTCTGCTAGAAAAACAGGAGGAAGAAATCAAAGCAAAACAAAAGCAAGAGAAAAGGCAAAGGAAATAGACGGGTTGGCATTTTTAATTGTGCTGTTTGAAGCTTCATTACATATGTGACTTTTCTAAACTTCTAGTTAGAAATTAAAACATGTATGGTACATTATTGTCAGGTTTATGTGTTGGTTGGTCTGAACATCTGGAAAGTATCAATGCAAGGATTTTTTTTTTTATGTCAATTCATGTACTTTTTCAAATGTTTTTTCTTGTGATATGTGTAATCATGTAAATCAAGAATACGGTACTCAAGCGGGTGACTGTTAGTATGGTGAACTACTTGTTAGTTGATGAACACTAACTTGTGTTTGTGAGGGTCTATATAAAATTAGCATTATGCACTCTTCACCATTTTTAGTTCTTCAAAAATGTTTGAACCTTGAACTTTTTATTCATCAATGAATCCTTAATATGAAGCAGGACAACTGTTTTCAACATTGTTAAGAATCAGCATAACATAATGATTTCTGAAGACTGGAGTAATGATGCTGAAAATTCAGCTTTGATCACAGAATTAAATTTTACAATATATTCACCTACAGCTATTTTAAATTGTAAAAATATTTCACAATACTACAGTTTTTTTTTACAATTTATTTTACTTTCAAAAACATAAAAAAAATCTTACCAACTCCAAACTTTTGAACGGTAGACAGAGTATATTAGTTAGAGATTTAATCATTGGGTTCAGACAGTCCCATAATTCACATCCTGGGATAAAAATACATAAACAAAACACTGAGAAAAAAAAAGTAAATACCTAAACAGCTTATCTAATCACAGACTATTCTTTGTTGCTTAGTCATAGTTACCAGCAATTAGTCTGACTAAAAAGATTCACTCTTCTGACTACTGACCCATGAAGGGAAAATAAGTCAATGTTTTAGCCTAAGTTTGTTCGTTTCCTTCCCCTGCTATTTTCCAGCCAATCAGCCGCCTGACAGACGGTTTCCCCTTAAAACACTGGAAATATTATGCAACTACCGGTACACAACACTTTCATACTGTAAGATGCCACTTCGTGGATTCCAGGATTTACTCATCCACAAGTCGTTCCAAACCTCTATGAATTTCAATTTTTATTATGTGGATCAAAACACTGTTTTTTTTTTACATACAATGAAAGCAAGACATATGAGTTTGCAATGACATGAGGGTGAGAAAATGCTGACAGCCTTTTCAATTTTGGGTAAAGATTTCAAGTGAACAATTGCTTTACCAAACAAATAAGATTTTTGGGAAAAACTCTTGTAATTGCCTTCCCCTTCCATTTGTTTGGCTTGGCGTCACCACTAGATGGCGAAATAAACATATTGGAAATAAGGGAAAGGAAACAGCTCGAGAACAAACATGAAATACTCTTGCTCTAACAAGCAGACTAACTCGAGAAACTGGCTTAAGCTTTAAGCTTTAGTATCCCTTTGGCAAGCAGAACGAGGTATGTTTAGTTTGTATTTCTTTGGTACGATTTGTTGATTCATTTGAACAATGTTAAATATTTTAAGTGAACGTTTGTTTATATTGTGAAATATGTATGGTTTTGTTTGTTTTCTTTGTAGTTTTACGGTGCCACCGTGCTGTGATGCGATTGTTATGGTGCTATGAAGTAAATCAAATGTGTAAACACAGTGCTGTGATTCATGGAGAACATTTGCAACAAAGAATTGAGAAATGAATACTTCAGCAATAAAGTTTTTTGCATTTGAGTAAAATAAATCGTCAAAAACTCTCTGCCTCTTTTCTTCGAAGCTGAAGGGCCGCTACAGTAAAACTCGCTGCTACACATGAGGTTTTCATCGTGTTGCTGTTGTTTCATCGCATGAGTGCGCGTCCGACACTGTTTTTTTACATCTGAAAGCTTTTACAAATACAGCTTCCTGGACTGTGTGAGTTGAAACTTTTACAATTAAAGACACTTTAGATGTTTATAAATATTTAGAATTTTACAAAGAATTGAAGTTTCAAGACATGAAGTTGAATGAGTTGTGTAATCTAGATTCATGAAGTTGAAGTTATTGATTTGAGTATTCGTTTTAGAAGGTATTGACTGCCATAGGTTATTGCTGGGTTTATATTTATGGTATACGTTTTCAAACAAGTGTAAAATGTTGAATGTCAAAGAATTTATGATTGTGTTGCATATACAATTTGACTTATTCCCATTGCTGATTATTTGAATTAAATTATAGATGTCTGATATGAGTAATTTATCACCCTCTTTAAGTTTTTAGACAGACAAAATGGAAGACACAGTTGAGCAAATGGCAGCGCAAGCAAGTCAAACGTTAGTTCCTGATAAGGATTTAAAATATTAATATTTCTATAGAAATGCAACATCAAGTTCTTGAAAAAGAAATCGTACAGAGAAAGGCAAAGAGATGCATAAACAGGAGACAAGGAAGCAAGAGAAAGCTTTTAACAAAGCTTTTGACTCCTGGAAGCAGACAGCTAAGGAAACTATGTCTAAATTGAAAGCTTTATGCACATACGAAGAGCTTGAACAAATTTTAAAAGGCCATTCAAACTAGACATGATGAGGTCACCCAGCATTATGCTCCCTTATTGCGCAATCAAACAACAACTGCAGAGATTGTTAAAAGAGTAGATATTTGTGCCACACTGACTGCAGAAATTTCAGATTTGGTGAGCAAACGAATAGAAACGGTTGATCAGATCCATAAAAAAGAAGTTGTGAAAGAGAGAGTAAGGCAGATATTAAATAAAGATGAGTAAATGGTAAATGGACTGCATTTATATAGCGCTTTCACAGACCCAATGGCCACCAAAGCGCTTTACATTTGCCTCACATTCACCCATTCACTCACTCATTCATACACCGACGGGCGACGGCAGCCATGCAAGGCGCCATCCAGCTCGTCGGGAGCAGCTGGGGTTAGGACATGGACACCTCGACACTTGGTCAGGTGGAACCGAGGATTGAACCACCAACCTTCCGGTTTGTAGACAACCCACATGAACCACTGAGCCACTGCCGCCCCTGTATACATCTGTCTTTGGTTGCACCAATACCGATACCATCATCTCAGAATCATCACAGACTTCAGAAAGCCTAACAACATCGGAGACCTCTTCCAAAGCTTCCAGTCAGCGAGCCGACGCAGAAGCAGAACTCGCAGCCAAAGTAGAGCAAGCGAAGGCTGTGCAAGAAATTCACAATCAGCAGGCCAGATTACTTGAGATGGAAAATGACTGAAAGCTGAACGAAGCAAGAATGCTAGCAGAGATGAAACAGAATGAATCAGAGATCCTGAAAACTACTTTTCCACTCCTCCCACCGTAGGAATAAGACATCAGGAAGAGGATCTTCCCATCCAATATTTCTACGGCACAACTCCTGTAAAATGCACTTTCCTTTCAAAAGGAAAGGAGCAACAAACCCAATAGGGTCGAACAAGGAAGCAACAATTGACAAAATACCTTGACGTGTTACAGGCTGGTCTTTCAGTTTGATGTCAAAACTGAATGTATCATCTTTCATAAACCACTGAATGCCAAGAACGTATCAGGTTAAGAGGTTTAGTAGTTATTGCCCACTCTCGGGAATTCACACAATGAAGAAATTCATTCTTATTTGAATTCCTTAGAGTGGGCAATAACTACTAAACCTCTTAACCTGACAAAAGTCCTAAGTATAGGCTTGCTGTACTTCAATACATTTCCAACCTTGGAGTCCTCAAACTCGCAGGCCACTAACCTTAGTACTAGGACGACCACAGATACAGTCACTGCAAGTAATAAGGTTAGTGGCCTGCGAGTTCGAGGACTTCAAGGTTGGAAATGTATTACAGTACAGCAAACCTATAATTGTGATTTTATTCCTGTGGACAAAGCTTATATTCCAACTAGAAAGACTGCGTTGCAATGGCCTCACCTCAAGCACATTGCCAATGGGTTGCCACCCCTCCAGAGCTGTGATATAGGATTGTTGATCGGATATGATTGTCCTTCAGCATTAGCTCCCTTAGAGTTCATTATCGGCATTGAAAATCAGCCTTTTGCACAGAAAACAGTGCTGGGTTGGAGTATCATTGGCCTTTGTAATCCCCACCTGGACAGACAAGGAAGTCAAAGTTTCATTCATCGAGTCTCAGTGAAAGAATTGTTAGTTTCTTCAGCTAATGATGTCTTAAAGGTATTATAGTCAGACTTCAATGAGAAGGGTTACGAGGACAAATATGTGTCCCAGGAAGACGTCCGTTTTATACGTCTTCTTAGTTATAACATCAAACATAAAATCCTCCTTCTCTACCTAATAACAAGAAGCTTGCTATGGTACGTTTGCAGCCCTTAAAGAAGAAACTGAAGTCAAACCAACAGTATTGTGATCATTATAAGGCCTTCATGAAAGAAATGTTGTGGTATATACCCCATCATGGCGTTTACCACCCTCACAAGCCAGACAAGTTGAGGGTGGTATTTGATTGCTCTGCAAAATCTTGTGGCATTTCTTTTAATGACTCTTTCTTCTTCTCACTGGTCCAGACTAGGGGTGGGGGAAAAAATCGATTCTTAGATGCATCGCGATGCGGACGTGGACGATTCTGAATCGATTCACAATTGTCAAAAATCGATTTTCAAAAAAAAACATTTTTTTTTCGATATATATTTATAATAACGTAATATTGACGGAACGCGAAAGACGGAACTCTGAAGCGCGGAAGTGCAGTGGCCGGACCGTCTGTGGCGTGCACATAACAGACGCGGACGCGATGGCTGAGCGCCAAATCCAAACACCCTCCTC